AGGCAATAAGTGGACTATTGTATGTTCCATGTGCGAAAAGTATGGTAGCATGTTGCTAACTTTCACTAGGAAAACTACGAGAAGGAGGCCGAGCCAATTGAGATTGAGGCCTCACTTACACACTCGGTTCTCATTAGCCGTTGTAACAACACCACCATCATTGTCAGGGGTAAGGCCAACCAGGTCACAGTCGAGAATTCCACTCGTCTGTCCTTGATCGTTGATACCCTTGTTTCGACAGTCGATGTTGTCAAAGCCAACAACTTTGCTCTTCAGGTCATGGGCACTATCCCAACTGTCATGTTGGATCAGGTTGACAGTGCCCAGATCTACTTCAGCAAGGAGAGTATAGGAACCAAGGTTTTCACCAGCAAATCAGCAGGTGTCAACCTCAACGTTATTTCTGGCCAAGACGATGACTACAAGGAGGTGCCCCTGCCTTCGCAAATCTGCTCCTATTACGACGAGTCTAAGGGGGACTTGGTCAACGAAATTGTGGCCCATGCTGGCTAAAACAGATGGTGCATACCTTGGATCCCCATATACAGGAGTAGGACAGATAGGATATTCCGAACAATTTTCTGCAGTGTAGCTATTTGGGCCAGCATCACATGTATCTTGACGTGTAATGGCAGCTAACACCGGGAGTGAAGGGCGCCTCTTTTTAGAATTTTGGAACTTTTACCCATCATTGGTCTGGCTGTGTAATCTATGCTGCCTTTGCTAAAAAGAAAAAGAAGAAAACATGTCGCTCTGATATCTAGTGCCATTTATCTGACATCGCACAAAAAGACGGTCAAAGTCTAGAGTACATTGTCCAACAAGCAAAAACGCCGTTGATCTGAACCGCGACAGTATGCCAATCCATCCAACAGCAAGAGACTCCTTCCGCCTGAGAAATATGTTGTAGTTTGTATGTTTACAGTTTAGCCTTGGGGGGCTCGAGAGTAGGCGTGAGCAGATCGCGCATATCGTTAGCTGCTTCGTTGAGGTAGTAGCTCATGCGGTCGCTGCCCAGACCCTTGGACACGACATTGAAGTTGAGACTATCGCCATATTAGTAGAGTTCTTTCTCCTTTGAGAATTTGAGGTGCAATGTATACCTGTTCTCGTTTATCATGTATGCAATACCAAAACCAGCATCAATGACCTGGCTCCAACCGTAACCGTTGAAAAACTCCGAGCTAAGCTGAGAGGTGGACAAGTGCCATGAGCTGGAGTAGCTGTATGCGGGATCCTGGTAGATGGCAGGGACCTCTTGGCCGGGTTCGAGAAGCTTCTTAAGACCGAAGAGATGTCGATCAACTCCCTTACCATCGGAGGCGGCGGTGATATATTCCACATGGGCATTGATGGCTTTGCGGAAGAGATCCACGCGTGTCTTCTCGTCAATGGAGGAATCAGACATGGACTTGACCCAGGTAACAGAGTCGTCAGAGACAGTTCGGCAGGTCTCGGTACGTCCAAGTTGGAAACGTCGGACAGCAGCAGACTCATAAGTAGGGCGACTCTTGCCGTACATCTTGTAGTAGGCGAGTTGGATAACCATCTGAACATAAGCATCAGGAGAGCACTTGAACTTCTTGATGAGGCCCTTTCCGTAGCCCTGATAGGCCTGAACGGCGAGCTGGTGCTTGCTGATGACATCGTTGAAGTCCTTGGTTGCACGATCAATCTCGCTCTGTACTTCTTTTGTGATATCGAACTTGAGGACTTGTGGCTCCGGCAAGTTGGATCGGATGCTGGGATCAGAGAAATCGAGCTTATTTCCAAAGATGAGGTCGTTGACGTAGTCGTTGAGGCGATGAGTGGGAGTACCGTCCATCATGGAGTGCTCGCCCATGAAGCCAGAAGTGCCATTGTCGTTGACAATGAACTGCAGAGGCTTGTCGTACCAGCGGTTAGCACCATCACCGTGCCAGTATTGGTGAGCACGCTCCTCGAGTGTGACTGGAGCCGCATCGTCAAGGCAAACCACGAAAGAGGACGACTCAATAGCCTCGAGAGCGTCCTTGTTCTTGGGGCTGGCCTTGAGCAAAATTTCACGAGCGTCAGTCCAGACATCTCTGTTCTCTGAGGTAAGAGCGCCAACAGCAGGAACACGCTGGGCAAGCTCATAGACACGCTTGAATTGCTGCTCAAGCTCTGAAGTGTTGAGCTGCTTTCCATTAACCTCGTGTTGGATCTTGAAGAACTGGTTCTTGCGAATCGCAATAATGTGCTTGTTTTCCTCAGCTGAGAACTTAACAGGGTAGTCGGCTGGCTTAGCCGCAACACGGGAAGCGTTGAACATCCACTTGTAGCTATCCATACAGATAGGCAACTTCTTCATGTACTCTGGCTCAAGGGTGCCGGCGTCAACCTGCTTCTTGAACTCGAGGGCAGAGGTTGTGATGGCAGCAGCTCGCTTGGCGGGGTCTCTCCTTCGTCGGTCGTCCCTGTGAGAGTAGAAGTAGCTGACGTAGGGGACGACGGGATCGCGGTATGAGAGATAGGCCGCATCGTTCCACCACTCGTAAATCCAGTTCTTGGTATTGGGGTCCTCGCGCTTGGCCACCAACTTCTCCTGAAGCTTGGAGCCAACACCACCAGGGCGGACAAACTCCTCGACGGCCTTCTTGCTTGCCTCGTACTCGCTGGCAGATAATAGGGGGTGGAGCGACTTGAGATAACGCTTCGCAGTCTCCTCAAGTGTTGGGACGGGCAATTTGGGAAGGGAGTCTTGCCATCGCAGCATGGGCCCCTTGGAGTGGTTCTCAACATAGCCTACTCGTAATTTGTATCAGCACGTTGCGTCCGAGTAAGTTCAGGCTTGTGGGGGATAGCGCATACCTGAGGATGCGGCGGAGCTGCTGGCTCGCTTTGAGGGGGCCATAATGAGAGTTTGCGCCTGTTTTCTCAGATTGTCAGATACGATTATCGGTCAGAGCAGGCGAGTTTCATGGTGAAGTGGGCAAAAGATTATTGACTTGAGCGGAAGAGCAGCTATGATGCCTGTTCATCCATCTCTCATGGCTCCGGGCGAGCGGAGCATTCGATCACGAGCAAGCAATCCTAGGACCCTAGTTCCTAGATCCTACCGCCCGCCAATGACTCGGCATCCATCCATGAGAGAGAATTAGAGGAGAGGAGAGGAGAGGATAGCAGACAGATTGTCATGCCTTTTCTCCTTGCCGACCACATGCAGAGATGCCTCCTCATAACGAGCAAAGGGTTTGACTTACGGCGCGTGTCTTGGTGAAGTTACGGAAGCTGTTCCTAAGGGCGGGCGAGCGGGCTGAAGTCAACAACATGGCCAACGCGGAAGACAAGCGATCAAAGAAGAAGAGTAGGAAAGGTCGAGACGAGAGACGAGACGAGATGGGGTAGATATGTATGTATGTGTGCGACAAATATTTGTCGGGGTCTATATTGTAACAGCAAGCAATAGTGCCGGTTTTCGCACACGACGCTTATTGCTCTGGCCTCGGCTCAGAAGACGGCAAGCTTCCAGAATGGAGTCGATCGTAGAGAAAGTAAGTAGGGCCCTGACAAGGGTCACCAGATTAGACTGGATTGGATTGGATGGGATAGAGACAGCGCGAGACTCGTTATGGAGTAACTTAGTATGGATGTAAGTAAGTTAAGGTAAGGTACCTTAGGTGACGTTTGCTTGTGACCGAGACGTCACCCGCCCGGGCCCCTCAAAAGCCTTGGGCCGAGGTACCAACTTTCAAGGGCCGACGGGATGGATTGATCACTGATCGTACAGTAGGTACTAATGTATCCATGCTCATCCCGGCCAATCATGTCTTGCATCGACACTCCGTATACCTATACCTAGATCCACCATCTCCGAGGCAATCAATCACTGTGCTTAAGCCTCTTCTGGGGACTAGACTACCTAATACTGTAAGGTCGGGTACCTTGGGCAGGCATCGCCGGCTGGTTCAACTACAAGGCTCAGACAAAGTCGAAGCATTTTCCCATCCTAAGGTCGTCAGTCAGCTTATCATGCTCTGCTTAAAGTGCTCACATCCATGTCTCCAGTCCTTTTTCACAAGTACCTTAGTCAAAGCCTGAATCTAGGATACCTACCCCCGGTTTTCCTTGATCGTGGGGAAGTGGAGAGAGCTCATCTCCATTTGATGTTACTACATACTTGTTCCCTTGGTCCATTGACATCTTTCAAACCCTTAAGTCGTCATACGGAGAGAATACTGGGTGGGAACTTGGGTCTATTACACTGTACCTTGTAGTCTATACTGTCTCTTTCCCGTTTGCCCGCCCATTGATTGATGTGGTCTGGCATTCACAATATGAACTGCCTCAATCAATCATTGCAAACAGAAAAACTCAACATGCATAATACAATCTGATAGCCATGGATTACACAACGGGAGAGAGAGATCGGCACAGAGCAAAACAGCTAACATAAAAAACATTCCAATTCGCCAATTTACAACCCAACCGTTCATTGACCAAATAATTTCTGCTGCGACAAAACCACCAAAGCATCTATACCATGCAACTACTAGTACACAATCCCCAGAAGACTAGATTAGCTCGCAGGCCTTGTGTCCATCAACGACCAAGTTGCTTTTTGAAAAATTTCCCAAGTTGTCTCCAGGCAGTGACTGCAGAGACCCTGAACAAGGTTGTGCTTCAATCTCATCCGTCACAATTAAACCAGCATCGCCCAGACGCAGGTCTCATATGAGCGACAGAAAGTGACACAACTTGAGATCGGCGATGATCCCGGCACTTCAATTCCTTGTACAAACCAGACGCCGTGACTTTGATTCCAAGTGTCCAAACAGTGCTTTCCCCCAATTAGAGCTCACGCTACCCAGTCTCAATTCCATCCATCATGCCTCATAGCTCTTGATTTGGCCATCACTGCTAGGAGGTGGGAGAGCCTGCACGCCTGGGACAGCCTGGAAGCTCAACCGATCTCCTTCGCTCATAGCTTCTTGAGCAAGTCGTACGCCTTGTTCGCCCCCAACAGCCGCGGCAGCCTTCAGGCCCTCCTGCACGTCTCGAACCCTACGTCGGAAGGTCAATCGATCGAGAAACAGTTGCTGTCTTGCGCGTTCAAGCTCTCGTCGCTCCGCACGCAGGACGGCCTCCATCTCGTCGAAATACTTGAGCTTTAATTCAAGCTTTTGTAGTGTCACATTCGAAGCAGCGGAAACCAGGCGAGTCATCTCGCGTTCTTCATGAGATGCGAATCCGGCAGCCCTAGCACCTATCGAAGCCAGAGGAATGGATGCGAGCGCGTTGGTCTTTGTGGTGGTCGTCGTCGTGGTCGTAGTCGTCGTGGTCTCTTGTCGGAGGTCGATATCCATAGAGTCACTCTTGGCTTTGCTGTCACCGTTGGCCTGGGAATCATCATTGGCTTTGTCACCGTCGAGCTGCTTGCGGAGCTTGCGCTTGAGCTCTTCGGCAGATTTGCTTGCGGCCGCTGCTGTACTGGCCGGGTCTGCCAAGCTAGCAAGGAAGCCGACGACAGACATGACGGGGTTATCAACTTG